CTCAGTGGGCTTGTCTTTATATAGGGCAACATGAGGCTACATACTTGCCGCCTCTACTTGAGCTGTAAGAAATCATTTTCAACTGTAAGAGACTTCGGTTCCTCTCGATTTTCATCGTTCTGTTGAGCGCTCTGAGTTGATTTATTCGTGTGACGCTCTTTTTACGAACATTATTTAGGGAGAGATACGATCAACGTTCGCACAACGAAACTCGGTAAAGACTCTCTAACAGCTCATCAAGGCAATGCACACAGTCACCTATGCTATCAATGTGCTTAGCACACACAAGCCTCGCTTACAAATACAAACTCAAAGCACGTTTTGCTTAGAGAGCGCTGATGCACTCGGTTATTCCTCGAGTCTTTTCTCAGAGTGTGAGTCGAAGACACTTATTTGCGGGCATCAAGACACGCTCAAGAGCTATATATGTATTATAGTACTTAAATATGTATTATAGTACTATATATGTATTATAGTACTTACAATAGTCTGTTATTTCTCAGCTCTTTTTCGCCTTCTAACAACAAGCATTATTGCTTAATTTTTATTTTATTTTATGCTTTATCGACCTCAGTCAAGCTCAGCGAATCAGACAAACAGATCAAATCAGATTTATACATACATATATATATACATATATATATACATATATATATACATATATAACTTACCGGCACCAGCAAAGCGAGTAAGAAGGGCAGCAGTAATGCCAAATGGTGTCTGAACAGCGTTTCCAAAAACTGCCATGTTGTGGACTTTAAGACTAAATGCATATCTTCATGAGCTATACAATTAGCCGGTTCCTCATAGACAAAGGGGACGTAATAGAACGTGTTGACAGGACCGGAAAAGTTGATAGAAGCTGCACGGCAAGGCAATAGATATATGAATATAGACATTGCTTATCGTATATGATGACAATTTAAAGCCAACTTACCTTGAGCCAAATGCTTGAACCGATTTATGACATAGTACATGAATATATTGTGTACGACGAGCAAAAGGGCTTCTCGCTTAATGGGATTTATGGCGCGCTAATTAAGATAGATGAAAGGAGCCAATGCAATTGATTTAAGGTAAATACTAAGCACACTTACGACATAGACGATTAGCTGACATAACAGTAGTATGAAGGCTACTATGCCCTCGTGCACATCGGCCATAGTGCTTGACAAGCTGTTAAATTTTGAGCAATTCAGAGAATATAATTTTTAGTGAGTGAAAATACAAAGATTAACACTGTTTCCATAAGTCAAAAGATATGTAAGTTCTGTTCTCTTTTTAATGATAATAATTGACGGACATGTTAAATTTTAGTGGCCAGAAGCCAGAAGATTTTCATTCCAAGTGAAAAGTGACATATGACGAGCTTTGTCTTTCAACTATAATATAAATAAATAAAAGCCAAAAATTTGTGTGACAGACTCTACAACTACAGACATGGGATTTTTTTTATGTATATATTTTTGTATGTTTTTATTAAAAGATATATTTCTCATACTTAAAAAATCTATTTCATTTTACATTCTTTTTTTATTATTACTCAAAATTGGGTTATAATTGTAATCATTAATTAGATTAGAAAATCAAAGCACAGACAATTCATGGTTGTTTTATTTTACTTTTATTTTTCCTGTCATTAAAAAATTTAAATTTATAATAAAACTTTAAAATGAGCACAGTTGAAGATAACAGCAATTCGTTTACTCTAATAATTTTACTAGACTCTTCTGCCCTTGCTAGCTCCACTGCATCACATTTTCTGCCTTCCGCCACCCATTTGAGACAATATTAATTTCGAAGTGCACGTCTTCGACAATTTCAATTATTTAATGTTCTTAATGAGGAGCAGCAGCTGGCCGCAAGACTTTTGCATAATGGCTTACAATTAGCAATTATCAGATTGTTGCATTCAGTTAAGAATTTTAGTAGCTGGATAAATTGCAATTGCATAAATCAAAACAGAGTCATTTAATTCAATTTGTCCCACATGTGTAAATAATGCTCGAATTTCTCTATCTTAATGTTTCATTCGCAAACCAAATTGACTGCCTGTCAGGGCCAGACAACAACAACAGCAACAGCAACAATAGCTGAACTAAAATAATTAAAATAAACATG